TGTGGGAAGCCAGTGAAGTGATTGCTGGACCCCTTGCTGAGATATTTTTATCATTGATAGCATGGGTGAGGTGCTGCAAGACTGGAGGGTGGCTAATGTGGTGCCATTATTTAAGAAAGGTGATAAGGACAAGCCAGGGAACTACAGACCAGTGAGCCTGAAATCAGTGGTGGCCAAATTGTTAGAGGGAATTCTGAGGGACAGGATCTCCATGTATTTGGAAAGGCAAGAATTGATTACGGATAGTCAACGTGGCTTTATGTGGGAAATTGAGTCTCACTAACATGATTAGTCTTTTCTGTCACTTCAAAAAAAACTCAAAGGCAAAACTGTGGATGTTGTCGAGATATAGTTCAGCAACATATTCGACAAGGCTCCGTATGGTAAACTGTTTCACAAGGTTAGATCACATGGAATATTGGGAGAGCTAACCATCTGGATACAAAACTGGCTTGAAGATAGGAGATAGAGGGTGGCGGTGTAAGGTTGTTTCTCGGACTGGAGGCCTGTGACCAGTGGTGTGCCGCAGGGATTGGTGATGGGTTCGCTGATTTTTGTTATTTACATAAATTATTTGGACATAAATGTAGGAGATACGATTAATAAGTTTGCAGATGAAAGCAAAATTGGAGGTGTAATGGACAGTGAAGGTGGTCACCTCAGAGTACAATGGGATCTTGATCATACACACTTAATGGTAAAGTCCTGGAGAATGTTGTTGAACAAAGAGGCCTTGGAGTGCAGGTTCATAGCTCCTTGAATGTGGAGTCGCAGGTAGACAGGGTAGTGAAGAAGGTGTTTAGTATGCCTGAGTTTATTAGTCAGTGCATTACATGTAGTAATTGGATGTCTTGTTGTGGCTGTACCGGAGGTTGGTTAGGCCACTTTTGGATTACTGTGTTCAATTCTGGTCTCCCTGTTTTAGGAAAGATGCTATTAAACTGCAAAGGATGCAGAAAAAAATTTACAAGGATGTTGCTCGAGTTGGAGGGTTTGACCGAAAGGGAGTGGCTGAAAAGGCTGGGTTATTTTCCCACACTGCTGGAGGCTGGGGATTGACCTTATAGAGGTTTGTCCAATCAATAGGGCATGATGAATAGCCAAGATCATTTCTCCAGGGTGGGGGAGTCCAAAGCTAGACAGCATAGGTTTAGGGTGAGAGGGCAAAGATGTAAAAGGGACCTAAGGGACAACGTTTTTCATGCAGACGGTGATGCATGTATGGATTGAGCTGCCAGAGGGAGTGGTGGAGGCTGGTACAATTACAACATTTAAAACGCATCTGGGTGGGTACATGAATAGGAAGAATTAAAGGTATATGGGCCAAATGTTGGCAAAAGCGACGAGATTAATCTAGGATATCTGGTGGTCATGGTCTTCCAATCCAAGATACCTTCTTGCCATTGTTCTTATTCCATCCTGTACTAACAAAGCTACCTCCCTTTCCTTTCGTTCCTGCAGCTACACTTCACAGCGCCACCAACAGCATTTTCCAAATCCATGACCTCCCCGACCAGAGAAGGACAGCAGGTACAGGGGAACGCCACCAGCTGCAGTCTGCCCTCCATGATACACACCATCCTGCCTTGGAGATATATTGCTGTTCTTTCAGACTCTCTGTCTCAAAAAACCCAGAACTCCCTCTCTATCAGCATTGTGGATGAACTCACATCTCCACAGACTGTTGCAGATCAAGAAAGCAGCTCGTTACCACTTTCTTGAGGGCAATACATGCTGGCATGTCAAGTGACAGCCACATCCCACCAATGGATTTTTTTAAAAAACTGGCGATGAAGACAAATTCCCCTCCCTTCCAGTCCACGTCTTTCCGCTTTTCAAAACCTAAAGACCTATATCTTCAACCAAGCTTTTGTCAGGCCTCCTAAGATCCCCTTTGACACAGCATTTAATTTGGTCAGATTCGTACGTTTATGTTTCTGAGATGTATCTTGGGACACTTGCCTAACAGAAGGTGTGATGTCAATGAAAGTTCTCTTTAAATCAAATTGTGACAGATTGGGAAAGCCAGTATTAAAATAAATACACAGGTAAATGGAGTTGAGTCACAGATCAGATATGACCCTCAATGAATGATTCATTTCTTTTTCTTTTCTTTTGTATTTTTTTAAATCCTCCTCTTCTCTCTTCCAGCCTCCGAACTCCTAGCCTTCAAAATTCCAGCCTCAGACCTCACGACTTCTGAACTCCTGGCTTCAGAACTCTCAGCCTTGGATCTCACAGCCTCCGACTTGCAGGCTCGGAACTCTCAGCCTCGGCACAGACCCGACGAGGCGTCCTCTTGGACTGTTATGATGGTCTGCCAGCCCAGCATGGCTTCGGCGTGAACTTCTGTCTCAAGGTGATTCCAGAGCATTCTCCTGGCCTCATGAACCCTGAGCTGAAGCCAGGCATGGTCTGGAGTTGAAGCCCGGTGCAAACTGGAGGCTAAGTGCCAGCATGAACTGGGGAGGAAGACCTGTTCTGAACTTTTTTCTCCATTTTATAATTTATACCAATAATCTGCAGTGCTGGACTTTGTATTTTGACCTCAATTCTTACAAAGAACTATAACTGAAAAAGATGTACTTAGGGACCTTTGTACCTAAGATGGCACTGTAAGTGGTGACTTGTACATTTAAGGGTCACTGGACCCAAAATGTTAACTCTGATTTCTCTTCACAGATGCTGCCAGACTTGCTGAGCTTTTCCGGCAACTTCTGTTTTTGTTTCTGATTGACAGCATCTGTATTTCTTTTGGCTT